CACACACACACACACACACACACACACACACATATATATATATATATATACCTGTGTATAAGGGAAAATTATGTTGTTCAAATGTATCTTACAATAACTTGTATTAATATTGATGACAGAGATGTTCATTGTTTTTACATATATTTTAAGAAGTTTAAGTAAGTTGTCACATGTATTCACTGTAATATTTGCCACGGGTCTCTAAAATACACTGGTTAATGATAACAGTCTTTTTAAAACACGACTTGTGGTAGAAGGGAAAGACATAGACTTAGTGTAGTTATTCCTGTACCAAATAAAATAAACCCAACAAGCTATCTTGTGATAGATTTAGGCTTAGTGAAGTTATTTTCTTACTGAATAATCCTCTGAGGCATGTAATGGCATCTGATGCTTCAGAAGTGAAATCCTCCACAAACCCATCTTGTGTAAATTAAATATGAATGAAGTGTAATAACTTATACACATAAAGACTTTAAAAGTTCCAGTAGTTTTATTTTAACATTATTTATTTTATTAAACATCAATACAATTTGAACAATAAAGAACCATAAGTTCAAAATTCAACCTTATAAAATAGTTTTTTTTTATTCATTTATTTTACTATTCTTATCTATACTGATGATTGGGAGGTTGTGAGAAATAATGAATTTTTTTCATTATAAGACAGTAATTTCCATCTCAATATTATTACTTTGGTCTGCAAATAAACATTAAATTTACTGATATCATTTTAATCCCTAAGGGTACAGTTTATATTAATAAATATATGCTAATATATTGGCCTCATCAGTCATTGGTGCATTTGGTCAAAAATCTGTAAATAAAATATATATCTCGGTATGAAGAAATTATAAATGTAAATTAACCAACTTAACTAGTGTTTTTGTGGAACCCTGAGACATTAAGATAACATTATTTTGACAAGTTGTTTTATTAAAGAGACAAGAATATTATCATTAAAGTTGTAAAACTACAAGAATAGATATAAAATGTATTCTACTTGTATAAATATTTAGAGTTTAATAGTCAATGGTGATTAGTGAGAGGTTTAAAATCATTATTGTAGTTGTTCACCCTAAGTTATTTCAAAAGCAATTCATTGATCAGCATTTTTGTTGTAAGATGTATGGTCAGTACTTTAAAAAGCAGGTGAACATTTATAGTGTAATGGTTGCATTGCCTCACACTTGCTAGCAATGAAGTGAAAGATTAAATGTAGAAAAATCACTACATGAAGTATAACTTATTTTATCCAGCAGATTAAGTGTTTTTAGTTATTACAAAAACATCCACTTAGAATCATGTTAGCATCAAAATAAAGCCACAAAATTTAAATTCCAGACTGAAATATCAAACATTTTAATGGTCATGAAACAGAAAATATTATTGATTTTCTACTAAAGAAAATATAAAATACGTTGTATTCTGCTTTAAACCACAACCTTGGTGAAAGCTATTGACAAGAAATCAGACTGAATATTTCTTGTTTATTGTTTTTACACTATCAAACACTAGAGCTTCCTTTGTGGCTTGAGGACATCTCCAAGAAAGACACTTACTAGAAAACAAAAACATGCATTATTTTTCTTTATCAAAACAAAAAACAGAAACACTAGTTTTTATAGAAACTTATATAATATTTACAGATTTTAAATTGTGTATGGTGTACCCTGTATAAGAATAGTAATATTGACCATAATTCCAAATTTGGAAAACTTTTTTTAACCAACAGTACAAGCATGTTCTGCACAAAAAATCAGATGTGTTACTAAAATTTTTGTGTTATGCTGAAGTCTTTTCATTTAGACTCTTGACAAGTTGGAGTGCAAGGTGATGTTTGTATAAAGAATAAAAATACTTTTGTCCACTCTACAGTTTACAAAGTGTACGTGCTTAACCTCTATAACCTCTTAAATTTATATCTGAAATTTTTCAGTATCCTTGTCTAGTATATCTGGTATTTTCTCTACTCTAATGTGATCTGTTGCAAAAGCAGCAATTTATGGTAAAATTAAAGTTGATAACTCTGACATCAAATTCATAATGCCATCGTGAATGGTTCAGTGTACAGAGATGGAGCATGCACAGTTTGATCCTCCCCCCATTCAAATAGTATTAAATCTTAAATTATGTACTTCTTTTATATTTTTTGGGTATTCACTGCTGGTGGGGTCCACATATTGCTTCATACTGAA